GAGTCGAATCAGTGATTCAAGATTCGGCAACTCAGTGACTCAGTTTGACCAACCGAATTTAGGTAATTCAAAACCGAGTTCGAGTTATCAATTTACCACGATTCGTGAAACGAGTCACGACTCACAATTAGTTACGAGTCACTGTTTTTACTATTCATTTCATACGACTCGTAACTAACGTGATAACAACCGTCAACCAATTAATTCAGAAATCATATTCAGTTCAGTTAATCATGAGGCTAAAGAATAAGAAGAAGTCTATGATAATAAATAAATTGAACTTTTTTTTTTAAATTCAATTATTTAACTACTGACAAGTGATACTACTAACTAGGTAATTCTGTAATAACTAATACTAATAAGTATTAACTAATAGCGTTATTTATTATAATAATAATTTTACCTTGATAAAATGTAAAAGTAAGTAATAATAAACTGTGACATACATATTTTATTAAGAACAAAATAAGAAATTAGTAAATTAAATTTTTAAATTTTATGGAATAGGAATAAACTACTTATTTAATCAATATTTTACAATATTACGGTTGCAAGCTAGTCATTTTTATAAATTTTTTAATAGGTAGGTTGACTCACAAAATACATTTTATTCTAAATTAAAATTAAGAAAAATCATTTGTTCAAACTTTGAACATGTTAGCCTACTTCTTTTTTTTGTGATTGTCTGTCCAGCTTTGGAAAAAATCCGCTCACATGGTACAGATGTACCCATGATACAAAACCTTTTTTTTACAAACTTGAAAAGTCTAGGGTACACATACTGATTTACCTTCCACCAAAGCAGGGGATCTTCTCTCCGTGACAGAAGTGGTTCATGCAGATATTTATCAAGTTCAATGATAAATGCTGCTGTAGGATTGGAAGATTGAACTATTGAACCCACTTCACTGTCAAAATCATTCCATATGGAATCATCGTCAGTCTGATTTGGTAATGTAGTGACTTCTTGAGTATTATTTACAATATTCACTGTTGTAGCTTTGCTAATTAAGGACTTTTTTCCTTCACTAAATGCATACTGATGCAAGAATCCATAATTTTTAAACCTTGGGTCCAATATTGTAGATTCGGCATACAATGGATTTAGTTCCAATGACCTAAACCGTGTATCTACTTCACTAACTAGAACACTAATAAATTTTGAAATTTGCGTGCATGTATTATGTTCAGATTTTATTTTGTTACAGTATTTAATGAGGGATTTACTTAGTACTACTATCTTTGAAACTGTCACAGATTTTTCAGAACTGATTTCAGTAGTGATTTCTTTAAATGGTTTTAATAATTCACAGGCTCTAGTAATAATATTCCAATCATTATTTGATAGAAACTCATTATAATTGGTTTCTGCTAATGCTGTGGAAAGAGGAATCTTCAAGTCAAGTACTCGTTGAAACATTTCAAAAGTAGAGTTCCATCTTGTGACAACATCTTGGATTAGCACAAGTGGAGGGGAATAGCCCAGTTGTTCTTGGATAGATTTTAATTTGCCTGCAGCAGTAGAACTTTTTTTGAAATGTCTAACTATACCAGAAACCTTCTCTTTGACCTCTTGAATTTCTTTTATAGCATTTTGTACAGCCAAATTCAAGCTATGAGCAAAACAGCGTACATGCCTCCATTTGCATAAATCAATTGCCTTTGTTATATTTGATGCATTGTCTGATGTGCAAGCTGAAACCTTATGTTCCAAACCCCATTCGCGTATAACTCTTAAGTGTTCATTTTTTAAATTATCACTAGTATGTGATTCTGAGTACATAAAACAAGAGAGTAAGTATGACTTAAGCTTACAATCATTGTTTATAAAGTGTGTTGTAACAGCAATGTAACTTTCATTCTTTACAGATGTCCAACCATCAGTCGTGATACTAACAAAATTACCATTCTCTACTATATCGGACTTGACTTTATCATATGTCTCATTGTAAAGAACAGAAAGCAACGAAGTCGACAGAGTTTTTCTTGATGGTAAATCATATCCGGGGTTTAACATTTTTAAAAGTTTACCAAACTCTTTGTCTTCGACAATACTGAATGGATAATATTCCTTTACTATCATTCTTAAAACTTGCTGATCAATCAAAGTTCGTCGGGAAGCCCCTACTGGTCTTGGTAAATACCTTGTAATTGTGTCTTGTACATTATGAACTGTTGGTCTATGAAAATTTAACGTCGCCATGTGAGTTTGAGAGTCAACAACTGACTAAAATAAAATGTATAGTTAAATATAAATATTGTAATATAGTTATGCTGAAATAGTCTGTAAATAAATTAAAAAATAAGTCTGTACATCCATTCATAATTTATTATTCATGACAAGGACCAATGAAATATTAATTATTATATTAAGTTAAATAAAATTACAATAAATAATTGCAGTTTTAATATAATAAGTAATTTTAAACTATCATTGAAATCTTAACTTTCCTAATTAAATAAAAAAAAAAATTAATTTTTAGTTGGCATTTTTTTTTTTTTATCAAGCAGATAGCCGATAGGTACATGCATTTAGTTTATAATCTACCAATTATTATATTGCATTTTAACCGTCAATACTTTATTAATTAATATGTCATCTGTAGGAAATTTATATAAAATACTTACTGAAGTAGATGCATTTTGATTTTCAATTGCTGTAGGGTCATCAATATTAATTTCTTGAGCATGAATATTAGAAGCAGGACGACGTTTGCTCAAATCAATTGTTGAGTGTTTTAAACGCATGTGTCTCATCATGTTAGAAGTGGATGTTTGGTTGTGTTTCATTTCAAGACGACACAAACCACATTTTACACTTTTTTTTTCATCATCCAGTTTAAAATAGTTCCAAACAACACTAGTCTTACTCATTTTACAATATTGTACACACTTTTTTTCTATGCAGACTTCTAAAGAAGCTTAGAAAATACTTTAAGCAGTTTGAATTTAATTGAATGAATCAATGAAATATGTTTAATACATAATGTTTATCAAATCATTTTGTGTCATGTAAATGTCTATTATAAGAACCATCATATAGGATGATAGTTATTTTTAGATTAATTTGTCCAGAACTCCTGATAATTATAATAATAATACAAACAACTGTTATTTTATAATCATATTTTTTATTTCAATACATACATGATATTCAACTCATAAAATATTATTATATTAGGTACTAAGAGGTAGCATAATTTTGTGCACATCATTTTGTAAATCTATAGTTCAAATTTAAACAATAATTATAAAGTACCTACTTCCTATTGATCTAATTTTAAATTATTTTATTCAACATGTATGTTTAAGCTAGAATGACGATTACAAATTAGCACTAGTACTTAATAGAAGTAAATAATATAAACAATATTAGTATTTGGTAGAAACACCAATTAAGATAAATAATAAATATATCTTAATTTATGGGTAGAAGTAAGTTCACAATACTTTAAAACTAAAATGTTCATAATTATTTTAAATATACGTCAATATAAGTCACGGACCTCCGTGGTTTAAGTACTTATAGTATATGTCCATTTCAGTGTTAAAAATTAAAAAAAAAAAATAATGAAATAATTTCTCAATTAAATATAACACAAATAGATGCAGCAATGTGTATTCCTGTGGTCCCGAGCGAGTTTTTCCACTGATAAGTGATAACAACTCGCGCCCAGTCCTGTAAGTACATTGTAGTATTGTACATACAATACTGATTAATGTCCGTAATTCGTAGTCAGTTGACAGTTCACAACTCACAAGTAAATCATGAATCAAAATAACCAAGGTGGTATTCATGAATTAAGAACTATGAAAAAAGAGTTAAGAGTTGATTTGATGATTCAGTTCATTTAAATGAACTGATTCACAGGAGCTGATTCATCAAAATGAGTTGAAATTCCCACCTCTAATAGACGTCTATTCTGTAAGCAGTGCGGTATCGCT